GTCCCAGAACTGCAATTACAATCTCCAATTACTGTCCTAGAGCCGCAATTACAATCTCCAATTACTGTCCGAGAGCCACAATTGCAATCTCCAAATACTGTCCTAGAGCCACAGTCACAATCTCCAGTGACCATGCAAGAGTGTCAATTGCAGCCTCCAGATCCTGTACCAAAACCATGCTGGCAATCTCCAAATCTTGCCTCAGAAGTGTGGTATTTTCTTTCAGATCCTACCAGACAATTGAGATACATCCTTCCAGATCTTGTCCCAGAGCCTTGTTGCATCCTTCCGGATACTGCCCTGGAACTGCACCAGCCATCTCCAGATCCTGTCCTGAATCTACTTTGCATTCTTCCAGATCCTTCTCCAGGCCTGTCCTATATACTTCCAGACCCTTCACCGACACCGTACTGCATTCTTCCAGATCCTTCTCCAGGCCTGTCCTATATACTTCCAGACTCTTCACCAACACCGTACTGCATTCTTCTAGATCCTGTTCCAGAGCCATGTAGTTTACTTCCAGATTCTGTCCAAAAGCCACACTGCTCCACTCCACAACCAACTTTGTATGCATACTGCCCCCTTCCAGATGCCCTTCCAGAGCCATGCAACCCATCAACAAAATCTGACCTGGAGTCGAGCTGCCTCTTTGCAAATCCTGTCATAGAGCCATCCTGTTGCTCTCCAGAACCTGCACTGAAAAAGAATGGCTTGGAACCAGGTTGCATTTCCCTGGATGCTAGCCATCTCCCTGTAAATAATGCCTCAGTATTTTACTGCCTTTCTGTAAATGGTATTTCAGAACCAAGCTACCTCTTTCTAAATCCCACACTAGAAACATGCTCCATTTACTCAAATACTGTTCTTGAGGATTTTTGCCTCTCTCTGAATGCTGTCTTGGAGTTATATGGCTTTGATATAAATGATGACTTGCAGGAAATTTGCACCTCCCCAAATTCAATTCAGTTTCCTAGATGCCTCTCTGCAACCTCTGCCCGGGAGATTGGCTGCACCATAAAACCCATTCAGAACAAACCTTGCGTCCCTGCAACATGCAACACAATTGAGGAGATAAGCATTACTTCAACACATTCCCCTTTCAAGAACTCAAACACATCCAGAAAAAACATTCCAGAGAAACTTTGTAATTCTGCAAAATCTGCCTCTGAGGAGCGCTGCAACTATACAATGCTCTTCACAAAGCAATGCTGCATTAGTCCAACAACTGATGTAGTAATATGTAGCATTTCTCCAAGCATCCGCCAGGTAGCACATCACATCTCTTCTAATCCGTGCACATTGACACACAACACATCTTCAAATCTCAGCCAGGCAATACACCACATTTGTTTAAGATTCTGCATGGTGACATGCAGCTCATCTACAAATCCAAGTACAGAAACACAAAATATACCTCTGAGCCTCAGTGAGATAACTGACAATTCCTTGAATTATGTTGCAGAAAATTGCCACAAATCATCTTGCCCATCTTCAAAGTCTATCAAACAGGTGTCTTGCACTTTCCAAAACATCATCCCCAAACATTCCACCACTTCAGCAAAACTTACTCCAAAAACATTCATCATCTCATCCAATCATGTCCAAATATTCTTCCAGTTGCCAAAATCTGCCACAGAGACATCTTGCAACTCGCTAAAGCCAGAGCCAGTCTGTACCTTTCCAAAGTCTACCACAAACACTTCTCTGAAGCATACTCCTGGGAAATGCAATATCAAACAAATAATCTTCCTCAATTTACAAGATTCCCCCTCAAAGTCTTGTACTGATGATGAAGATAAAATGAAAAGGAAACCCAGGCCACCGTGACTATGACATTGTTCCCACAGTGCACATCTGGAATTTAATTGCTAAGAAAAAATCCAATCCACCAAAGACTGAAGCTCACCTTTCTGTGACTTTGATTCAGAAGTATGTCCTTGAAACGTAGTCAAGCAAAAGTGTTAGAAATGTCCAATGTTTCACGGTACAGAATAAAGTAACATCATTAATTTGGAGCTGAAATACAATGCCACAATGCCTATTATGACAACATAGTAAAATTGAAACTTGGAAACTATGCAGGTATTCTAAATTTATATTTGTACAAAGTTAACAAAATTGTGATTTAAACAAGATTGAGAAGCATTTTTATACTTTGAATGCATTCATAGGATGCAGACTTAACATTAAATGGTAAGCAGTGGATTCCAGAAAATAAACAGTTAAATAACACTAGATTGTATAAATTGTAAATATTGCATCTATGATAGCATATTGGCTACATGTTAGTGGGCTTGATTTCCATTTAATTGTATTTACATCAATCTGGTGCTTTTTAACTGAATAATGTCTTTGTAAAAGTGAAGATTTATGCTTCTAATAAGTGTAACAGTTCTATTATTGAGAACACTGAGTTATTTGAAAGCTACCTAATAGCTATTTGAAGCTGAGGAATCCTATCTGTAACATGTGAAGTCCCATAGGTATTTAAAAGAGTGGCATGGTGGAACAGTTAGAATGTTTTGAAATGGTATTTGTTATATGTTTTTCTGCTTCTGTATTATCAATTGGTACCCTGAGTAGCTCTTGTAGTTACATGCTATTGAGAGAGAATTAGCTATCAGGTAGTGAGTACCAGGAACTTAGTGTGGTGGAAGATAGAAGCTTTTAAGATACTTGGTAGGGAGGCTATGGAGAGTGAGAGAAAAAGTACAACCAAAGTAAATTAAAGGGCAATACTTCTATGTTTGTTTTAAACTTATTATCTCGTACCATTCTCAAAGGCCAGTGACAACCAAGAATAATTGAAAACCTTGTTGTAATCCATTGTAGACACTAAGTCATGGAACATACATGAAATTACAAGAAAAAGAAACATGCTTTTAGATCTCTGCTGACATTGTTCTTCAGCTGGTTCTGAAACCGAATGGAAGAATATCTATGGTTAACTACATTTTTTGTTGTCCTTTTTTCCATTCCTGCATGGAAATAGGTTATAGTCATGTATAGAGAATTTTGTACAAGATGTTCATTGACGTGAATATACTGCATTCAAAAAGGTAGCAGCGTCATTTATTTTCTGCTTAGAAAAAACATGGTCCCTCCAAACATTAGAGAGAATAGATACAAATAACTCTTCGAAATCACTGTAAGCCATACCATTTTCAAACCAAGCAAATACCAAACCTGAACCTCTT